CCTGTGTGGCAGTGCCCTCAAGCATGTGCAGAGTGTCTTTTCCTTATCAGAGTCCCTTGAGAAATATGAGGGGACAGCTTTCCTACAGGCCTGAGTCTCTTCCTAGAACAGGACTCCCCAACCTTTTTGAGCCTGCAATCACCTTTGGAAGTCTGTCTGAACCGGGAGGCTTACTGCTCTGATCCTGTGTGGCAGTGCCCTCAAGCATGTGCAGAGTGTCTTTTCCTTATCAGAGTCCCTTGAGAAATATGAGGGGACAGCTTTCCTACAGGCCTGAGTCTCTTCCTAGAACAGGACTCCCCAACCTTTTTGAGCCTGCAAGCACCTTTGGAAGTCTGACACAGCACGGTGGGCGCAGCCACAAAATGGTTGCCCCAGCTTACCTTCAGTCACACAGTGAAGATCCTTGCGCTGTGGTGGTAGCTGCCGCTTAAGCATTTTTAAAAATCTGCACAGCCAATCAGAAGCCTTGCTGGGGGAGACGCTCCACCTGGCCCTGCCCACTTCCTAAAAACATTTAGCGGGCCCCAGAAAAAGGCTGGCGGGTGCCGTGGTGCCCACACCTATCATAGAAAATATGTACTAAATCTACCTGTTTATGATTGTACCTCCTTCCTCAGCTTTGGCTTCTGGGTCTTGGGTGGCTCATAGGTTTGCCGCTTTCCCTTTCTTTCTAGTTCGTCATTCTTGTGATTGATAGCACGGACCGTGAGAGGCTGACTGTGACAAAAGAGGAGCTGTACAAGATGCTGGCTCATGAGGTGAGTGCTGGCCGTGAAGTGCAGAGAGGTGCATTGTGGTAAATCTTAGGTGCTCTTTTCAGGCTTCTTCGTGCACTGTGTGCTGGTGCGCGAGTGTACTTTTTATTGTTACAACGCTGCCCGGCAATAATGTTGACGGCTTGTGTTACAGTACTTTGTCACGGGCTGGAATGTTATGAAAATGGAAAACCCATGGCATTTATCTCCATGGAAACCAGCCTGGATATATAAAAACATGGATAGTAAATGCTGGCTTTGCAGTCTGGCAAGGTGTGTGGTGTGACTATGGGTATGCGCTTCAAAAAAACCCTCTTATTAATTTCATTCTTGTTATCCCAGATTTTAGGGGGAGTTGTTACCAGTTTTGGCTTCCATTTTGGGTACATTTTTTGGGATTCCAGAATTTTAGGACTGTTATTCTTGCTCTTTCCACCCCACCCCACACCTCAGAGATTGCAGGAATGGGGAGGAAGGCAGGGGAAAGAGAGCAATTAATCCCATTAATGAGCTACCAAAGATGTGGAGAGTTAGAATCTGGAAACCTGTGATAAAATATCTGGAGAGGACTATGAATCTGGAGATGACTGGTGTATAAATTGTTATTGCTTTGGGGTTAATAATAACAATTAGATGTATGTTGTTTCATGTGTACTTAATGTTAAAACTCCATTCGTTTTTTTGTATTCACTTCATTTGTAGGCCTGCTATCTCCTTGAGATTGAGGATTAGAGAACAGTGCAATAACCTGACTGCGATGCTGGGATGTCATAGAATGTTTTTGAGCACTCTTGACTGCTCAGTGGGAAACTGACAGTAGTAGAATGCTGAAAATTCTGTGTAGGACGAAACCCATACAGGACATAAGGGCAGTAAGGATTGCTCCAGAGCAAAATAATAGGAAGAGTCCTTTGTTAAGGGCCCAGAAAATGGATATCTGAGTGGAGGAACCAGTGGGCAGGACAACTAGTGATCTTAGAAGAAGATATTGGGCTGCAGCCCATAATTCCCATCTGCTAAGTGAGGGGGGTGTAGTGTAGTGGTTAAGAACCAGGTTTGATTCCCCATTCTTCCACTTGCAGCTGCTGAATGACCTTGGGCAAGCCATAGTTCAGTCAGAGCCGTTCTAAAAGAGCAGTTCTCGAAAGAGCTCTCTCAGCGCCACCTACCTCACAGGGTTTCTGTTGTGGGGAGGGGAAGGGAAAGGAGTTTGTCAGCTGCTCTGAGACTCCAAGTAAAGGGCGGGCTATAAATCCAATCTCCTCCTCCTCCCCTTTTTACTTAGACTGTACAGAGTTACCGCAGTGTAAGCCAGTTGATCCTGCATAGAATTGCGCTGTCCCTTTCATGTATTAATTTGCACCCATCAGATCATTAACTTGATTAGACTTCGTATCTTAATGCATGTGTAAGTATAGTGATGAAAACGTGAAGAAACCAAGAATCCAATATAGGCTAAATTTCCAAGGTTAACAGAACTATCTAGAGCAGTGATACCCACTCTGTGGCTCTTCTGAGCACTATTCCCTAATGTGGCACTTGATGTGCATTTCAGAAAAGTGGGTGAGGTCCTTATCTTGTGGGGCTTTTGTGGTTGGCAGGTGGCTCACACTTTGAAAATCAAGCCACTTAGCCTCACGCCAGAGGTGGAAGTAAACGTGACTCTTCTGGTTGATGGTGATTGTGGAAGTGGCTTTCCACAAGCCATGGACTTGAATACCACTGATCCAGAGGAAAATATGATTAGGGTGGTACTTGGAGAAGTAGACAGAAAAGGCAAGGGGAACTTGGTCCCTCTTCTCGTGCCTCATAAGGTTTTTCATGAGTTTTACTCAGACTAGGGGTGTGCAAAAAATAATAATAAATTGGCCGGATTCGGATTTGGCCAAATCGGGCAGAATCAATTTCGGCTGGCAGACAGACTCCCACATGTCAGTTTCGGCAGTACAAGCCCATTCCGGAGTCTTTTGGCCAGCCAAATGTCAATTTTGGTTCCATTATATCCTATGGGGCATTGAAGTCAATGGCGAAAACATGGGGTATATTCTGGGGGCTGGAGGGGAGGGGGTTTAAGGGAGAGGCTCCAAACCCACAGGGTAGCTGCTGGAGCCTCTCCCCAAGATACCCATCAAGTTTCAAAAACTTTTTCCCCAGCATAGAGAACCATGGAGGGAATGGGGGAAACCTGTTTGGGGGCTCGTAGAATTGGACCCCCTGGTCCAATGTTCTTGAAACTTGGTGGGTATCTTGGGGAGAGGCTCCAACAGCTACCCTGTGGGTTTGGAGCCTCTCCTTCAAACCCCCT